AAATGTACGTGCATGTAGGTAAATATTTGTGCGTCACTCGTCTCAAAATAAATGCACACATCGCCCTCCGAGAAGTTATTTTTTAAGTTTGATCAAGTACATATAAAAGTATAATACAATAATATTTATGATATGTAATAACTATCAGGTACTATTGGATTAATAGTAAAATGTATTTTTATAATAAACATATTAGGAGATACAAATATTTATCATATTTTCTAGTAAATTTATTTAAACTTTAAAAAAATTGACACATGAAAAAAGAGACGTGTTTTGGGAAAAAAAGAAAAAAACAATAGCAACCGAGCACGTCACCCACCGGTGGTCCCCACGTGCTAGAGCGATCGTTCTCCCCCCACCTCACTCTCCACTCGTCTCCAGGATCCACCCCCTCTAGCTGGTCGGGTCCTCTCTGTGGCTCTTCTTCCCGGTTTCCGTCCTCGCTTCCAAGCCAAGCCAAAACACACACACAACGCACGCACACAAACACAGAAAGCCGCGCGAATCCACCCACCAGTCCACTACCCCGCACGCTATAACTGCAGCCAGCGGACGGAGGCGCGCGGCGGTCGCCGACAAACTCAGCCATGGCGACGGGCGGTAGCCAGGGGAAGGCTGCGGGGTACTACCAGTACCCGGCCTCGTACGCCGCCGCGGACGAGGAGCGCCGGTGGTGGCCGTGGCTGGTGCCCACCGTGCTCGTCGCCTGCATCGCGGTCTTCGCCGCCGAGATGTTCGTCAACGACTGCCTGCGCCACGGGAGCGCGCTCGGCGGCGGCGCCGGGTGCGTCGCGGCAGGGCTCCTCCGCCGGTTCTCCTTCCAGCCGCTCCGCGAGAACCCGCTCTTCGGGCCCTCCTCCGCCACGTACGCCTCGTCACTCCTCGCGAATTGCGATTTGGCTCCTGCTTCCGCTGTGTTGTTGGATCCGGTGCGAAATTGGGGGTTTCAGGAAGGGTTTGTGATGGGTCCAGTGTTACGATTTCAAGCCACAGGTCGCGTTTTGGTTGTGGATTTCATGTCCAATCGCTAGTGAGGCTACTAGTTTTCCAAAAAAAAAAAACGCTAGTAAAGGTTGGTGCTTACTAGGCTTTTATACCACCCGGAATCTTCCTTGTCTACTAAGTTGCCATTTTTCTTGGTCGTTTTCAACTTAGGTCGTTTGGAAATGGGGGACACTGAGCAATTATGACTATTTATAGATATATACCCTATAACGAGTAAACGACGAAATTACTGCAGATTGCTCCCCTTGTAGCAGGTAGATTTGTACTAAAACATTTGATTTAGCTTAATACCTAGGAGCACAGGGCAGTGACAACACCTGATTCAGCCAGCAGTGGAATCTTCTATTCTCCACAGATTTGTCTTAGTATCTAGTACTACGATTACGAGCCCGTTGGCTGGGTGGTTTCTGGGCTGATAAGCCTGACTGGTGCTGGTTTGTTGGGAGAGGAAAACACTAGCCTGTTTGGGAGGCCGTAAACGATCGTGGATTATTTACTGCTGGCTGGTTTGGTGTGAGAGAAAAACACTGTTTCTGACTGAAAATTTACGATCGTTTACGAGCAAGCGAACAGGCTGCGTTGCTGGCTGATAAGCGCTGGCCACAAGCGAAAAGTTACGTCCCTTTCTGAGTTTCTGTCAGTTAAAAATTACAGCTAGTACACTTTTGATTGATGGGCTACATTAATATTTTTCTCAGTTATAAATGAGCAGTTTAAGTAACCAGGTTATGTTGCTGCTTGTGGGCTTTTTCTATTCCTGCTGTTACCTCATGACTCTAGCAGAATCATGCAAGGCACGGATTGTTAAATCTAGCTGTAAAATAGATGAATTTGTCTGTTCTTGTTTACTAATTCCAGTATGTGGGACAGTTTTTAGATACCAATATGAAACCGGGACTGCATTCAATATTCGCTTGACATTGTCCTATACTAAAGCACACCAATGTTTTGCTTTACAAGTTCCAATATTTGTGCAGCTTGGAGAAGATGGGAGCTCTCAACTGGGCCAAAGTAGTTCATGGGCACCAAGGGTGGCGCCTCATTAGCTGTATCTGGCTCCATGCTGGCCTAGTTCACTTGGTTGTCAACATGCTAAGCTTGCTCTTCATTGGAATCCGCCTTGAGCAACAATTTGGGTTTGGTAAGCTTCTTATTTGCACTTGTTGGTTCACTATGTCATTACCACTATATCTATATTTCCCAGTTCTATCACCTTGATCTTGATTGGATTATTGGATACTTGACTATCTATTATTTTGCAACATCAATCTTCTATATTTCCCAGTTCTAGCACCTTGATTGGATACTTGACTATCTATTATTTTCCAACATCAATCTCCTATATTTCCCAGTTCTAGCACCTTGATTGGATACTTGACTATCTATTATTTTCCAACATCAATCTCCACTTGGAAGATGTACTTTACAATTTACATCATAAGCATTGAAATGATATGAGCTGATTCTGTCTTGGAGCTTATGGAAAGCTGAAGTAAATCTGAATTAAGTAGTCATGGAGGTTTCTTTTCAGGCCTTGCCTTTGTGTTGCAACTACTTTGTTTTCTATATGCACCATTTTGTTAGGATTGCGACATAAGACCATTGCTTTCATCAATCTAAGTATGGCTTTGTTGGTTGGTATTCATCTAAGACGTAGGTCTTACATGTTATTTGGGGCTCATTTTCTTCTCATTTCATCATGGATTTGGAAGTATGCTATATTTACCTTTGTCAATACTTCTGGCATCTGGTTTTGGCAGTAGTCTGCTCTCTGCTGTCAACTCACTTAAGTTTTCTGACTTGCAAGTGCGCATTGGGGTCATCTACTTGATATCTGGCTTTGGCGGCAGTGTGCTGTCTGCACTTTTCTTACGCCGTAATTACATCTCTGTTGGTGCCTCTGGGGCTTTGTTTGGCCTCCTTGGATCTATGCTTTCAGAGCTTATTATGAACTGGACTATCTATTCCAACAAGGTCAGCAGAAGGCATATTATATGTGTACTGTTTTGCTTAAGTTTTTCTCTCTGTTTTTTTTTTTGGCTAAGTTTTAGCCAATTCACTCTTGCAGGCAGCGGCAATCATAACTCTACTTTTTATAATTGCAATTAATATGGCCATTGGGATATTACCTCATGCTGATAATTTTGCCCACATTGGTGGATTTGCTTCTGGATTTCTTCTTGGATTTGTGCTGCTGGCAAGACCTCAATTTGGCTGGATGGAACGCAGCGAGCTACCTCAGACTAATCAACCTCCAAAGTACAAATTGTACCAGTATGTCTTGTGGGTTGCTGCACTCCTCTTGCTGGTAGTTGGGTAAGTTGCAACCATCCTAGGACAATTACACTAAAGGTCACATCTCGCTTGTAATAGGCAATGTGGTATCCACATACCATAATTGCCTTGAGCTATGCATTGTTGCAAACTAATGCCAAACAACAACTACCTCCATTCATTAAAAGATGGTGTTTCAGATATGTAAAACAAGCATAGTACAAGGTTTGCTCTACTGTCTAAACCATCATCTTTTAGTGAGTGGAGGTCCCTCCAGTCATAGATAAGTGATGTTTTTGGGGCTAACTTAAGTAATCACTACAAACCTTGAATGTTAGGAAATGATACAGGTAGATTTGTTTCGAAAGATACGTCTGATATACTTTTGGCCTTTCAATATACTATAGTAAAATAAAAGGTAGGAGCCCAAGTTTAGTTGGCTTAAGACAAGTCCGAAGTGTCATCTTTTAGTGACCGGATGTAGCACTTTGTATGAACTATGATGATTCTTTTCATTATAATTGAAACTTGAAGCCTTGACAAATGTGGCCACTTTGTATGAGCAATGATGATTCTTTACATTAATAATCGAAACTTGAAGCATTGACAAATGTGGCTTTACGTTGCAGATTTGTGATTATCTTGGTCATGCTCTTCAAGGGTAAGAATGGGAACGATAGCTGCCACTGGTGTCATTACCTGAACTGCGTACCAACATCCAGATGGAAGTGCGATACATAGATTGCTATTCTGCAAAGTATATGCTTCTTGAGGGAGCAATTCTTTTTATGTTGGTGTGTTTGTGGAAATGTACGACGAAATGTGTCCTCCACCTGACCTTCCTGCACTTCTTGTGCCCGGATTCTCCCTGGTTCTATGAAGTACAAATCTTTCAGAATTGTAGCTCGAGCTTGTAACTGTTGATTTCGGCGCAATTGCTATATCGATTTCAGCAAACAGTTAAAACACTATAGCTTCACTTGATAGTTGCTATTTTGAGAGTGTCTACGCACTGGCGACTTGAGTTGAAAGATTGGCAAAGTTCAATTGCATATGATGACGCTGAGCTGATGGTTTGTTTGAAAGATTGAATTGAGGTGTATTTGGCCTAGCCCTCTTGCTTTTGAAGAGAACATGAACAAACTTCCAAATTAGACATTCTCTTTTCCAGACTCCAGTGCCGGCGCTGCATTTCTCCAAGTGGCTGAAAAGATGTTTTCGTGAATCCACCTCCCTGCAGCAAGGCATATATACCAATGCCCTGTTGTCAGTTCTTTGTGGCTACAGATGCTTTCAGTCCCCATCAAAGCGTCCTCCATCATCCCTTCGTGAACAAGGGCCAACGCTTTTTCCTTGCTTCCCTTCTTCTAGAGCGGCATCCTTGTTTCGCAAGAAGATAGAAAAGCCGCTGCCGATGGTGTTTGACGCCCATGCCCCTACTCCTCTCTGATCCAGTCATCCAGCGCGGCAACACGCAAGCATTTCGCAAGGGCACCGGTGTCATTTCCGGCGTCTGTCGTTCTCTCGCGGCCCACCGCTGACGGCCCACGGCCCGCAAGAGGGGAGGAGGAGAGCAATAAGAAAGCACCACATCGCCCCACGCTTGAATTAACAGGCACGGCTCCGCTGCTTCGCGACTCCTGTCCGGCCCCCAACCTCCTCGCCGTTGCATCGCCGCGGCGCTCCAGGTCGCCGCCGGTGCCGGCGCGCCTCCAGCCATGGCGCGGCCGCCGCAGGAGGCGATCGACACCTTCGTCAGCATCACCGGCGCCGACGAGGCTGCCGCTATCCGCGTGCTCGAGGTGACGATGCCTGCCGCCCCCCTCCCTTCCCCGTCTCTACCCATTGGTGTTACGGTACCGGCTTTTTTTGGGATTCGTTGCTGGGGGTTTCGGGCTAGGGTTCGGCTTCGGCTCCGCGTGGCGTGGGTTCCTTAGATGGCGGTGCGGGGCCGTGGCGGATGGGCGTGATTGTGTGAGATGTGCGACTTGAACCGGGGTTTCGTGTGCGTAATCGTAATCGCTTCCCTGTGGGTTTAGGGGTCGCAGAAATTGCGGAATTTGAGTTTCTAAAGAGTGTAATGCATGGGAGGTTTTCTGGTTGTGATGGGATTGATGCGTGCACTTAGTTTTTAGTTTGCATTTGTGCCGTGTGAAATGCCGAGACTTCACTGGATCGGGGCGGATGAACAGAGTAGAGCGGGTGCATCAGATCTCATCAAATGTTCTAACTGTGAATTCCATAATTGTTTAGCAGGAGAACTAAGTTGTAAGTTCATTTGTGTTAGATTCTGTTGGAGGTTCAGTTTCTGGAATGTTAGATTGAGTCGATTTGGTGAGGGAAAAACACTTGTTAGGATGTTTGTTTATGTGGGGTCAAGAATGTTGTTGTCTACTGCCTGGTTGAGGGTTTGCATTGGCCCTGATTGAGTTTGTAATAATGCAGAGTAGCGCTGACTGAAACACTTCAGTATATTTCAGAATGCGTGCTAAATCATTGAGCATGTGACATGATTTGGGCACAGAAGCTCCAGCTGATTTGTCTTTGAGCTAGTGGTGCAGTTCAAACTGTAATCTACAGTCTGAATTGAATATTTCTGTCTCTGTCATGAAGATAGGCTCCACTTCATGTATTTCGCATATCTGTTTATGTAGTATCTCTGACAAATCATTGGAATTTATACAAATGGGTATTTTATTGTTAAATATTAAATATTAAATATTAAATATTTTTCTATCCATCAGCTATTCTCTATTCATCCAGTTTGCTGCATCAAACTTGGTACTTTTTATAACCTAGTAAAAGATAAAAAAGTTTTCATGGGTAAATACTCTATCTGATTGCAAATATATTCTGTTCAGGGCATTTCTGTGTCCTCAGACACAGCGATTTCTATGGAAAGAATGTTATTTCAAATAAAGAAATAATTATGATTCAGTGTGCTGCATATTTACTCTTAGTGGTTTTAACTTGATTAAATAATAAGTTATCCTTAGTCAAATAGTATAACTGAAGAAATGGAGTGCAGATATTACAGATAATCATTGTTAACTATAAATGTGACTGCCTTTTTTGAATCATATTAGCTACAACGGATGACCAATTGTTTTTTTTACTCAGGAACATGGTCACGATCTAAATGAAGCCGTGAATGCTTATTTTAATGAGGGAGATAGGACCACGTATGCTTTCGTTCTCTTAACTTCTATATGCATTTGGTCACGTGATATTATTTTCCCGTTCCATTTGATGTGACTGAAATTCTCAAATGAATGATTTTCAGCACCAGAATCAATCAGAATCCTGTACCTGCCACTGCCACTTCCAGTTATGATGACATGATGGAGCTGGATGAACCACTTGATCCCATGTTCAACAGACCTTTGTTCCCTAGAACTTTGGGCAGCCCTTTTGCACTTTTGGATCCAGGTTTTGCTGACATAACTGCTGGTGATATATTTGGACGTGGACCCCGAGTTACACAACCTAGGGACGTGAGGCAGATACCTATTGAAGTTAAGGACAGCAATACTCAAATAGGCAGTTCTGGTCAGGGTCCCATTATTGAGGATGTTACTGGACGTGAATCTTTCTATGGTCCAGAGGTCCATGGGACTGTTATAGTTGATGAAGATGACGAAGACTTGCCACCAACACCATCTGCTCATGATCCTATGATCCCAAGCAGTGCCTCGCACCCAAACCATTCCATGCCAAGCGCGCCTCCAGTGGTTGATGTTGGTGACTATAACAATGATATAGAAGAGGAGATGATCCGAGCAGCAATTGAAGCTTCAAAAAGGGAAGCTGAAGGCATGAAAAATGTATGCTTCTGCTTTTGGATTTCGATTGTACATCTGCTTAAACAAACTTTTTAACAAAAAACTATTGTGCACAGGTTCTAAGTAGTGGTGAATCTGAAAACATGTCACGTGGCAGAGGTGATGATGAGCTTGCTCGGGCAGTTTCTTTGTCCTTGGAGGTAGACTTTTAACTTCTAAGATGCAGCTCTATATTTTTGTTCATATACCTATATCCGCAATGTGTTTTTTTGATGTGGCTACCAGACAGCAGAGCGAGAGAGAGCTCTGCGCCAAGAGGGAATGTATGTAGCAGATCACTCTCCTGACTTATCTGATAAAGAAGGCGACCAAGGAGGAAGTCGGATAAATGAAAGGTGAACACACATTTTCAAAATGTGTAGAACAGTGGTAGTGTGTGGGTTATTACTTCAGTTAATGGCTCAATTTATGTTCCCCTACCATTTGTTTTTTTGGGTATGGTTTCATTTGCATGGAAGCCGTGCATCGTGTGGGATATGATATTGTTTACCTGTTTGTGTGGGTCATTGTCATGCAATGTTTTTAGCCAGCCTTTACCTATACAACCTTTGTAAGGATAATCCGTGTCTAATTGGAATATACTTGGTAGCGACTGATTCCTCATACATGTTCATTCTTATTGTAGGCGAGGACTAACTGCAGGGAAAGTTGGAACTTCTGAGCAAACAGTAGATGAAGAGAACTTCCAAGAGGACAGTGAAGATGACGACGAACAGCCTTTAGTTAGGATTCGTTCTAGGCGATTTCGAGGCAGAACTATTGAGCCAGCAGAAACTGTTCAAAGGGCTGACAGCCCCCCCTCAAGTCCTCAACCTCATGTTCAAATTGATCATCAGCATAGTGGGGGTTTTCCTTCAGAAGAGGTATTCAGTTCCCATTATGCTTCTAGTGAGCTATGGTATGCAAATTATAGTTTCATAAACTCACAGTGTTGTTTTAATTTCCTTGAAAAGTGGGGTGGTATTTCTTCTGAAGAGCATGATGAAGCTCTTATGCTTGAGGCTGCAATGTTTGGTGGGGTTCCTGAAGGAGCACCATATCCATTTTCCTTCCCAGCCTGTGGCAGGTCGACTCGCTATCCCCGAGTAGCACGTCCTCCATCACCATCATTAACGACGCAGCGGTTGTTAAGGGAGCAGCAGGTACAGAGCAGTATTCATCTGCTGGATAGTATTACAACTACTGTATATGATTAGCAATATTTCAATTGCAGGATGATGAGTATCTTGCTGCTCTTCAAGCTGATCGAGAAAAAGAGTTGAAGGCTGTGCAGGAGGCTGAACTCCGCAGGGTAGAGGAAGCTGCAGCAAGAGAGGCTGCTCTTGAACGTCAAAAGAAAGAAGAGGAGTTGAAGCTAAAGAAACAACGCGAGGAAGAGGTACTTCACTTAATACTATCGAAGTCAAAGTTGCAGAATATGATTGAAATTCATACATTTACTGCGCTTGGATAATCTTGTTGCCTCAGGAGCATATACGTTTTATTAAACTGCAATTTGGTTGGGTTAATTGCAGAAGTGGGTATTCAGTAATGTGTTAGATGTTCCAGATATTATGAAAGAACTGTAGTACATTTGTCAGTCCTTATCAGGAAAGTCTTGCTAAACTATTGTTGGCTTTAGTAGATTGATTTCCTTCCCAACTCATGCTAAATATCGTTAGATATATTCTCCAAGGTTTTCGTTATTTTACTAGTAGTAACTTACCTTTCTTTTTTTGGGGTGATTCTTAGGAGTTGAAATCCGAGCTTGAAGCCAAACAAGCATCACTACCGAAGGAGCCACTACAAAATGACGAGGGGGCTGTCACAGTGGTAGTCCGCATGCCTGATGGTAGTCGTCGAGGACGGCGCTTTCTCAAATCCGACAAGCTTCAGGTGAGCTTACTTAAGTTGCCAGAATCCCTGCTGATTGCTGAAGTGCTTCATTATGCTTCTATAATCTTGCTGGAATTGTTGCAGTATCTTTTCGACTTCATAGACATCAGCAGGACTTTCAAGCCAGGAACTTATAGACTGGTAATTCTCATCTACCTCCTTCAATGTATATTTGCAAAACAATATTTGCTGATAAAAGATATGTGCAGTTACAGTCCATATCTTATTATACTGGAGATATGGTATCAGCACCAGTTGGTTATTCACACTTTGTGCTAACAAGAAAGAAAAGATACTATTGTTTCAGAACACTTTTGCAGGACCTTTTATTTTGGCAACTTCTCTTGGCAATTTTCACAGTACCTATCCATTTGAACAAATGATAACTTCCGCCTCTTCAAATCCAAATTATTTTATCAAACCATTTTGAACTATCTACGTGGGTTTAGTGGAATCTCCTGTTTAGTTCTTCATCTTAAGCACTTGTTAATTGTTATAGGCTTGTAGCATCACTTGCCCTGGTGGTTGTTAAGTAGTCAGGTCAGTCAAGAAGTTAAGTTAGTATGATAAGACTATACTTCGAGGTGGAAAATTGCACCAACAATCTTTTTTGTTCATCAGCATTGCATTTTTACTGGTCAGTTGGTTATGTTGTTTTCTAGTATTGAGTGATGGCATGAGTGAGCCTTGTTTAGGGGAGACATCAGAAACTTCCTTTGATTCTACATAAATTTTGTCATCTGTCCCTGACCGATTCTTGTAACCCTAGTGATTTTTTGAGTTTTCTTTGGACAGGTGAGGTCTTATCCCAGGCGTGCTTTCACTGAAGGCGAGAGCCAGATGTCATTGAGTGATCTCGGCCTCACTAGCAAGCAGGAAGCTCTGTTCCTAGAAAAACTGTCAGCGTAGAGTATAAGGTTTTAGAGTTATGGTTGAGTATATGCACTTTTAAATTAAAGTCACTACCTGGCGTGTGTTTATGAAATACTCCAGCGGTTGAATGATTACTGATCTCTAGAGGAGATCCCGTCGCCAGCTTCTGTGCTCTGAATCGCAGGTGTTTCTCTGACTGTCAGTTTGGGTAGCGCACTAAATTCTTATGGCCACATTTAAAGTGCAGATGTGCAGTCAGAATCTATTATGTGCAATTCTACATTCAGTTTGGGTAACTCCTGCTGTTTTTAGAATTGATCGATGTATCAGTATGACTTTGGAGAAATGGCGGTTTAGATCATCCGTATCGGTCTCGTGGACTGTATACTTACGTGATCACGTAATTTTACTGTGACTGGCACACGGTAACTGTTATCAAAATGAATTTACTGTGACTGGCACACGATCACTGTTATCAAAATGAACAGGCGTCACAAGGGAAATGCACGATAGAAAAGGTTGCATGATGGTCATGCATGGTTTGGTTTTACTTATTTTATTTATTATATGCTGATGATATAGACCGCAAGACAGTCGAATATTTAAAGAAAACGACGAGGACAACGTTGGGCGATGCCGGCGGTCAAGACAAAAGCTGGAGCTCGACTGCTCTCACTGTGAAATGGAAACACTTCTTATTCCTCTTCAGATTCCCTGAATTGCAGCAGCATCCGTGCCAGTTCGCTCCTGCTTCAAGCAGCTGCATGATGAACACAAACCACAACAACACATCGATTAATAAACTTAGCACTGACACCGGGATGAAGACATCATGAAACTGTTGCGGCCTCGCTATAAAGCGTACAGCAGTTGACTTGGGCGAGGTTGCACCGGCCGGGCAGGCTGTTGATGATGCCCATGGTGCTGCAGGCGCACTCGTGCGACACGGCGCTCAGCGCGCTGCAGCAGTCCGCGCTGGGGTCCGGCGCGCCGGGCACCAGGTACGCGCGGCACGCCAGGAGGCCGTTCAGCTGCGGCAGGCACTGCCCGCCGCCACCCTGCGCCTCCGCGCCGCGCAGCACCGACGACGGACCGCCGCCGAGGACCAGCAGGACGAGGCACGCGGAGAGGAGCGCGCGGGGGACGGTACTGGCCGCCTCTAGCGCCGCCATTGTTGTTGCCTGGTGCCGGCCGGACGTGCTCCTCCTGGTGTTGTGGACGTGACGAGGCTGAGGCTGCTTCCTGCTCTGCTAGCTGGCTTGCTTGGGAAGTGTGGCCAGGTGCACGCTATTTGTAGCTTTGATGGGAAGTGTGCAACGGATCAGGGCGGCGAGCTTTGCATGGCTCACCTACGGACGGATCAGGAGGCGGGTCTTGTGCTTGGGAAGAGCGAGCGCTGCAGTTGTGTGAGCCAACTGAACGCGAGGTACGCGCGGTGTCACGTTCTTGAGCTCAGCGTCTCATCAGCCTTTGTTGCCGTTCATCTCCGCCGGGGTTGACGAGGAAGACGAGGTGCTCAGAGTTGAGCTTCAGCTGAACGAGTTGTAGCACTTCCTCTTTAAAAAATGATATGTTTGGGTCCACAGAAAACGATTTCCTTCCGCAGCACTTGACATCGGAATCCATAGAAATCTTTATTGCGAATGTGTCACCAAATCACAGCCGTACATTGACATGCTAGAGCAAAAACGTGGCGCCTTGTGACCGTGTCCATGAGCACACAACACAATAGCATGTTGGCTAGTTAGCTAGCTAGTGCACAAAAATGCTTTTGCCCTGTTCGCTTGGCTGATAAGCCATGGCTGAAAAGTACTGTTGGCTGATTTATTGTGAGAGAAAAATATTGTCCGTTGGCTGAAAAAGTATGGCTTATAAGTCAAACGAACAGGGCGACAAGTCTTTCTTTTTTATTAAAAGAAAGAAAATAATCAGTTAGCTTAGAATTTTTTTGGAGGTGCTCAAAGGGGGAGAGGATGTGTGCATGTCTTCGTAGACGTGAGTGTACATGGATTTATGAGTGTCTACGTTTCCACCACTGTTCGCCTAAACAGCCGTTTAGCCCGTTTACACACCGTTTAAACGCTACATTGTGGTACACTGTTTTCGTTTAATCAATTGTTTTGACCGTTTAAACGGCCGTTTTTCCCGTTAAAACACTCGTTTTGCCCGAATAATGGGCTAAACGTTAGGTGACCGACTGTTTACCATTTAGCGTTTAGGATAACACTGGTTTCCACTGTAATTTATAAAAAAACATGCAAGATCATAAAAACATACAAAACATACTTTGGAGCTAGGAGATATGACCGAAACACTAAGAGGACTATGTTCTGAAAACAATACCGTACCAGCGTATGATCCGATGCTCATATTTTTTTTACCAGGCGGATTAGGAGAGTTGGCCACAGGGAATTACATGTACTGACATATGATTTTGCTGCTTTTATTCATGGTTAGCGCATAATCCGGTATTCCGGTGATGTCTAGCAACGGTACATAGAGTTTAAATAGTACCACCCTATGATCTGGTGCTATTGTTCTATGCTACAACAAACCATCTGATTCATGCAGAAAAATGTGACTGTTGGAGCAAGGCTAGTGGGTTGCTTGTTTAATACCCCTCTAGCCGGCGTTTTTAAGGTTGTTGGAGATCATCAAATCTAGAGGGTCATGCTACACTTGAAGGTATACTCCAACCTCATATTAGAGCTCACTGATCATATCGAAAGCATGGTAGTGATTAGTGCATGTATAGGCCTTGTTTGTAAGGGATTGAGTTGTTGTGCCCTTATAACTTGGCGAGATGGAGCAATTGAGTTTGTGATCTTCTGGTGCAGGTCTTGGTTGTCTTCCAGGCATCGACCCTCGAGTCTTCGCGTGAATACCTGATAAGGTATTTAAACTTCAAAAAAAATCTCTAAATTTCAAAAAATTCCGATAAAAATTCTAGGGATAGACTAGGACACGAACAACCATGATAAACTATTTAGATCCTTTGAGAGTATCTCTAGAGAAGCTTTCAATAAATATCTAGAAAAAAATCAAAAAATTCCAAAACATTATAAACGTGTTTAGAAAACTTTCCACAATAAAAATATGAGATGCAACAGGAAAGAATGCAACATACATATATGTTGGATGCATTTGTACATGAGAGCTGATAGAGGTAAGATGTCTAGTTGGCTTTGTTTGGCTGCACATAAATCCACCTCAATCCACGTGGTTTTAGAGGAATTGAGATGGAATTGGATGGATTTGTGTGCAGCCAAATAAGTCCTCAGGGAATGGAGCTTGCTTCTTAGCGTGGCCCAAGCCGTGATGAGACGCCCTATGGCCCAGGAACAAATACAGAGAGAGAATGTTTGTTCGGCCCAGAAGCCAAGCTGTTGCACAGTTTGCATATGGGCCCACTCACTCATTCACTCGCTGTACACGACATATTGACATGTTCTCCACGAGAAAATTCCAGATAGTCTTTTCTACCGATTAATTAGGGTCAGCACATGCACAAGCACAAGATGCGTCTCTGCGCCATGCCACGACTTTTTCCCCATCAAATAATTCCACGCTGCTTTTACTTGAACGGCCTGAATTCGTTCAGGTCATCGTCGTCTCATCCTTTGGAGATTTCCAACATGTGCGCTGGCCACTCCCGGTCGATGGATCTGCGCATCATGCAAAACGAGATCCTGATTCCTCACTGATAAACTGTAAAGCATCCCAGCAGCAACTCAACTTGATTAGGTCTCTCCCATGATTAGCTTATTATTGTTAGCCAATCGCACGAGCATGTGCATGGACATACAGAAGAAGAAAGAAAATCTCAAGAGGATATGGCGGAATTTTATAACAGACGGAGATAGTAGACAGCGTCTTTGATCGATGGAACCATTCATAATGCTCTCAAAAAGTGCTGTTTCGGTTAGACTATGAGCTCACGACAGCACAGCATGGATCACAAAATACTTCTAGGTGCTTCTAAATTACCCAAGCAACAGAGAGTATTTATGAGCATTGTGTTAGAATGAGAGATAATTTTAAATAAACATGTGTCTAACACATGTGGAGGTGTGATGCAAAGTGGACAACTATATATGAATTAGGATGAAAAGGTATATAGAACAATTGGTAAATAATATCTTCATGTAAGAATGATCCACATCACTAATGGCATCTCGCCGTGACGTGATGATGGACGTGTATGACTTTTAACTTCTTCTTAATGAAATACGTGCTAAGCACGAAAAAAAATACTAGGCCCTAAATTTACACATAATTTTCTAATACTTATGATTTATCTTAAAATTACTAACATGTGAGGCAGCCCGCAAATTCACATATAAGTTTAAATTTGTGAGCAATTCGTGGCAATCCGCATAACTAAACCTATTGCCAGGGCTAGTCTTGCTACTGCCAGGTAGTACTCACTTAGCCCGTGTTTATGCATTTATCGCTGACCTTTGCTATTATTGTTAAAACGCAGTGCTACATTTCCTATTTCTATTTCTTTGCTTTGCTAGTTCATCCTTTCTTTAATTAGTTACGCACTTGCGCCGTACTTACGCACTTTATATATTTTTTGAGAAAATATGAGAGTGACCATAATATACTAATAAAATTATAGCAATTATCAGCTGATCTAAATTAAAAGTAAGCGCTGCACTGGATTTTTTTGATGGATGGTCCATACCCCCGGCATCTTTGTGAGCACAAACAGCTAGCATCCATCATCATCCATGCATGCACATCAAACCGACACTCTTTATTATTGACAAAAAAAAAAATCGACGCAAGTAATTATGTTAGTTATTCTAAGGCCCTCATGGCACTATATGGCAGTATTGCAATATGGTCTTTGAATTTCTTGTCATCTTATTATTAGTTGGCCTCTAGATATTTCGTAGGAGGCCGCTAGAATGAGGCTGGCCAGGTGGAACTTGCTCGCTCGGCAGCTATTGGTGTTTGTCAAATTGAAAGCGAGCAAGATCCCTGCACTGTTCATGTGTGTCTAAGTGTCTTGCATTTGCAACAACAACTAATCTGATAGTTCTGAAAGATACAAGTCTCCTCAAACAGACCCTGAATCTTAACCACGCTGAAGTGCTGAACAGTGACAGCAGCTACTGTCTTAGGCCCCGTTCGCGTGCCCTTAAACCCAGCTTGATCCGTTTTTTTTTTCATTCGGAACAATATTTTTCTCTCACAGATTCCTCCAGAATTCATCCGAACCATCCAAATTCCTCCAGAACCATACCATCCGAACGGGGCCTTACTGAGGAGTAGCTTATCAGTGCAGCACAGCGCGTCTACTGACTGGACTGCATGCCCACCCTATCGATCGACTGATCGTAATATAGTGAACAGGTGGTCAGGTACTGATCATATTTGTAGCGGTGTTTAAATCCAGGGGCTAAAGTTTATGGATGTCATATCGGGTATCATATCGGGGTGTCAGGATGGAGTGTTCGGATAGTAATAATAAAACAAATTACAGAAGTCCTCAATAATCCACGAGACGAATTTATTAAGCCTAATTAATATGTCATTAGCACATGTTTACTGTAACAACACATTGTCGAATTATAGACTAATCAGGCTTAAAAATTTTGTCGCAAATTAATCACAATCTGTACAATTAATTATTTTTTAGGCTATATTTAATACTCAATATATGTGTTCACACGTCCAATGTGTGAGAGACTAAAATTTAGGGTGGAGAGCAGTTGCATTCTTTCGTTCGCTTTCGCTCGCACCGTCAGTGTACGTCTGATACTCCAAACCGAGAAGCAATTGATAGCAGGAGTAATAGCAACATCGGACCAGGTGGAGCCGCAGGCAGGCCGTAGCATCAACGGGCTGCACTTGCACTCCTTCCCTTGCGCGGAGCTGAAGGTCGGGGAGAGAGGGCAAGTCTGTGTGTTTTGTCCGTGTGCGTGCGTGGGCTGCTTTGGCCGGACGCGTCGATCGGCGAGAGCGACCGGAACACAGCCGGTACGGAAGGTTCGACTTGCGCGTCAGGAACAGCTGACCGACACCTACCGCCGCCTCCTTTCCACCGCCTTCTGTCCTGTTCTCTCCCGGCCGGGCAGCGCAGATGTGGCAGCGGCCCAGCGCCGATGAGAAGCTCCCCCGGCCGGTCCGGTGCCCCGTGCCCAAGAAAGCTTAGCGATGCAGCGAACGAGCGCGAGCGAATGCAGGCGGGCGTCGCCGTCGCCGTCGCCCGCGCCAGCGCGGGGCGGCCGGTGGGTGCGGCGTCGCCGTGGTGAGGCGAGGACCACGACCACGTACCTCGCCGGCGGGGTCGGGGGTCGGGGTCAGGGGGTCAGGGTCAGAGGGCGTGGGTTACGCGGTCCCTTTCCGATCACGTCCGCCCATCCGCCCGCGCTGCCAATCCTGTGGACGGCTAGGCGAGCTCCCGCGGATTCCCACGTGCGCCCGCGCCCGCGCCCGCGCGCGCTGTCGGTGGCGTCCCGTGGCCTTGCAATGCACGGGGGACCTCTGGGTTGGAGCGAAGGCTGGCAGGTGGGCCCCGTGCGCGACACTGAAACCAATGGACGGCATCGGAAGGTACGTACGGATGGACCAGGACACGACGCGTCTCGTGCACCGTAAAAAAACAACAGGGAGGACACGTCGTCGACGATGCACAGGGAAGGTAGGTCGAGAGCTGCAGCTGCTGCATGCAACGCAACGGCTGTTCTGTTCCTGATTGCGACGAGCCCGCGTGCCTGCCTGCTTGGCTGTGCCCGATGATCATCACCGACATCGAGCACGCATATGGCTGCGAAATGTTTGCCGGCCGCCCCTGACCCCTGTTGGGTCGAGTTCGTTGGTGCCCAATATATTCCCCGCCGTGGGGCAGGCTCGGCCGCAGATTCGCCGTCGCCGATGCCGTCCATACATGGTGCCCGGCCCGCAGGACAGGAACACCTGAAAGAAGATGCCACATGTAACATGTTCCAGCAGTGTCCATCGAGTGCCCTGCCCTTTTTATGCTGGAAATGCTGGCTGCACCGACGGACGATGGAGCAGGGAGCGGCTGGAGCGAGGGAGGATATATGCCGCTGTGCCCCGTGCTGCCTCGGCGCTGGACCATCATCTCCCGGAGCACTTGCGCACTCTGCTGCCGCAACCCCCCTCCCCCCCTTCCAGTACCAGAGACTCTGACAAGATATAATTGAAAATACCGTTGGCTGATTTGTTTTGAGAGAAAAATAGTGTTCATTGGCTGAAAAAATATGTCATATAAATCGAGCGATCGGAGCGTAGAGTACTGCTGCTGTGTGAGCTAAAGCTAGGCCATACTCGTGGTCAGGGCGCGGCGCGACGCATACGTACTGTACAGGCCAAGAACTGTTTTTCCCGGTTCTGGTGCAGCAGCAGATTGCAGTAGTAGTAGCAGCTAACTTGCCAGCTGATTGTTGCCTCTATCACGCAAGTGTCTTTTTTTCTTCTTCTTCCTGAGCTTGGTGGGTGTTCGATCGGCCGCTCGAGTCAGTGTACATATACACACACACACTCTGCTCGTCTGCCGAGGATCGATCGCTCGGGCTCGGTGTTGCATAGATAGATAGAGGTATAGCTAGGAGAGGATCGGAGGGAGAGGAGTCCTCGCTCCCAAGAACAACATCAACAAGACGATGCGCGGGAACCGGGAGCAGAGAGTGGCCTTCTCGCCGATGAAGGAGGCGGTCCCCGCGGTGCCCAAGGAGGAGGTGTGGGAGGTCCGCCCCGGCGGCATGCTGGTGCAGAAGCGGAGCCCCGACGCGGACCCGCCCCCCGGTGGCGCGCCCGTGCCCATCATCCGCGTCAAGGTCAAGTTCAACGGCGTCTACCACGAGATCTACATCAACTCCCAGGCATCCTTCGGTGGGTAATTAATGCCGCTAGCTGTGCGGTTGATTTAGTTTCACGATCGATGCTTCCATTCTCCGATTATGTCTGTATTCTAGTGTTTCAATCGGGTGGGTGAATGAATAAAATGCAGGCGAGCTCAAGAAGCTGCTGTCGGAGAAGACGGGCCTGCACCCGGACGACCAGAAGGTGGTGTACAAGGACAAGGAGAGGGACTCCAAGGCGTTCCTGGACATGGAGGGCGTCAAGGACCGCTCCAAGATGCTCATGCTCGAGGACCCCGCCGCCAAGGCCAAGCGCCTCCTGGAGGAGCGCCGGACCAGCAAGGCCGACCGCGCCGCCAAGGCCATCGCCCGCGTCGCGCTCGACGTCGACAAGCTCGCCACCAAGGTACAGTACGTCCTTTATTTGCTTCAATCAATTCACCCATCCATCGCCGGCTGGGCAGCCGCAGGCGCCGTTCCTGTTCCGCATTCTGTCTCGCGTTGATTGATCACATCGGCAGGTGTCGGCGCTGGAGACGATCGTGAGCAAGGGCGGCAAGGTCGTGGACGCGGACGTGGTGGCGCTGACCGAGGCGCTGATGACCGAGCTGGTGAAGCTGGACTCCATCGCCGCTGTTGACGGGGAGGTGAAGGTGGCGCGGCGGGCGCAGGAGAAGCGGGTGCAGAAGTACGTGGAGACCCTGGACGCCGTCCGCGCCAAGAACAAGACCGCGGCGACGGCGCCGGTGGCCAAGGCCAGCAGCAACAACAACAAGGCGCGGCCGCCGCACCTCCCGCCGCGCCCGCCCCCGGCGGCGGCGCATCAGAACCAGCACCAGCAGCGGCGGCAGTTCCAGCCGCCGGCGCCCACCACGGCGACGGCGCCGGTGCCGCAGACCCAGACGGCGAGCTGGGAGACGTTCGACCTGCTGTCGTCGGTGCCGTCGACGTCGGTGGCCCCCGCGACCACCACCACGCCGTCCCCGCGCTTCGAGTGGGAGCTCTTCTAGAAGGCCCAACTCAACGCGCCAGCCAGCCTGCCCTGTCTGCCTGAGCCCTTGGCCCTGGCCCCCGTCTCCCGCCACATGTGTGCCTGCCTGTCCATTGGCTCGGCCGGTACCTTTCTTGTTCACCTTGCTTGCCCATGGTGCATGTCAATCGCCGTTGTTTCTTTCTTTCCCCCGTCTCTTTATTCTTTCTTTCTTTCCTCCTGTCCTTTGAGTAATTGAGTCTGTGTATATTGCATGATCTCCACCAAAAAAGAAAAGAAAAGAGCCAACAACTGCAGTGAGCTACTAGTGAACAGAGCAGAAGCGCATGATGCATCCATGGTGTCTGTCTGTCTGCAAATAAGTGGTGGCCTTGCAACCGAAGCGATGAAGGATTTTTGCCATGACCATAAGTATAGTTTGTGTATGTATAGTAGTGCAGCAGTGTACAGTGTACATGAATAAAACAAAGCTCTCAACATACGTATTTGTCTGTGCTCCCGTATGTGATGTATGATACTATGATGGATGGTTCATCATCCCACATTATTGTGCATGCAACCAAAACAATGCATGTGTTGAAAGTTGGAAGAGGGTGAGTGATGAGTGTTGCAGTTGCAGCTGATGGACTGGACTGATTGGGGGGGGTTTGGCGCTTGCAGCTAGCTGTGTGGCAATTATTGGGCATCTCACATCTGCCAGATCAGGGTCGTTAGCGTTTTGGATGAACTCGCCGGCATGCATGATGCGTAGCATAAAACTACGCGCTTGGTCACCCCGGCTGCTGGTTTCCACTTTGGACGTACGGTGATTTGCAAATCGTACGTGCTTGCCCGCCCGCTCAAAAGATTCCTCCGTGTGCTGATAGGATACATGAAACTACAATATTATTATGCTTTTGGATGGGTGGGGGTAGTATTAAAAAACCGTAGTATCAAGAAACTACAGTTTTAGAACCTCAAAATAACTGTTTAGGAAAAAAAAAGTCTATAGTAAAGTTTGTAAAACTTTAAAATGTCAACTACAGTTTTAGCAACACTATAGTTTTAACACCCCGTTTTTGTTTTTTGTCTTTCAGTCAATACTATCGTTTTTATGTGTTTTTGTTTGACCTGTCTTTGTTGCTGAGATGCCTTCTACGATGCTGGATGACAACAGGATGAGTAGTATATAGTATAGTACTGGTAGTATGGAAGAAGCTCTCGGCTTCTCTGTTGTGTCGGCGGGCGTAGCAACTTGTGGTAGCAGCAGCAGTGGTTCAGATTTCAGAAGAAGGGTAGGTGAGGAGACAGAGCAGGAATGAGTGTAGTGGCCTTCCGGATCATATCAGGCCTTGTTTAGTTCATTTCTAAAAAAAATTACACCCTATCTATCGAATGTTTGATACGTACATGAAGTATTAAATATAGACAAAAAAAACTAATTACACACATTGTGACTCCTTTGCGAGACGAATCTTTTAAGCCTAATTAGTTCATGATTTGACAGTAAAGTGGTACAGTAACACATGTGCTAATGATGAATTAATTAGTCTTAATAAATTCATCTCGCGGTTTACTGACGGATTCTGTAATTTGTTTTTTTATTAGCATCCGAATACCCTATACGACACCCCATATAACATCTGATGTGACGCCCCCGAAACTTTACACTCATCGGTTGCTGCTGTATAGCAAAAACAGGACTGGTGCTGTCCCCCTGTATGTACAACCCCTCCCTCCGTCCTCCGGGACCTTTTCTGGCTTTAATGCCCTAATCATTGTAGTGTATACTCCAAAGCTGCTTGTTGTGTTGGTCCTTCCGGCTTAACAACTCTGTCAGTATCACTGTATCAGATGCTCTTCAGCTACAATTGGTACTGGCCGTAACAGCAACAAAGACTTGGGACTTTGCGAGCACTGAGAGACACCAACTGACCATTTTCACTCGAGTAGCAGCCTGCCGGGGCACGGTTACTAGCTAGGTAGTGCTGACACTAGTGACATACTAGGACATGCTGCCCTAGCTTGTCTGTTCTTTTGTGACGGTCAGGCTGGGGTGCAGTGCAGCGGCTTGTGCATCAGCAGATACACACCGTGATGACTGATGAGAATATTGGAGTATCTGCTGCGCTGGCAAAGGAAACGTGTTTATGAATGGCAAGTTGGCAACGAGATGCACCATGCATCTCAGTCTCAGCATGTGTGTAGCGTGTGTCTGCGTGTGGGGTGTGGCCCGAGGGAGAGCAAGGGGGCTCTGGCCGTGGCCGGGACTGGAATGCATGGAAGCTTCTTCTCAAGCCCAGCGCATGCATAACAGCATGAGCTAACCGGGCGAAGCACGCAAAGAGAGACTCGCCGGCTAGCTGACCGGCTGCTAAGTGCTAATCGATGTGTGTGTGTGCGCGCGCGCTTTTCGGTGCCGCTGCGGCGTCGCTATCGGCCGTCTCCGTCAGGATCGGTCCGTGACTGCATCGGCACCATTGGCTCGACGGCGACGCTACGTATCGTCTCCTGTCCTTTGATTTGATTTGATTAGTACCACTGCTAACTCGTGTATTTAACGATGGATTAACTAATATACGTACTAACGTACATACATAAGGATCATTAGCTAGCATTGCAAGCCGTGATGGTGTGCCGTGTGTGCGTGCCTTTTATTTTGTTCACCACACCACACCACACCAGGCCCGTGCGTGAAAGGGACGGCCGATCGTCCAACGGGCAGAGATAGAGCAGCTCGATCGCCCATCAGTCGGCCCCGCTGGCCGGTTTGGCTGCTGCTGCTGCTTCCTCAGTACACCTGCTACAACGAACCTGATGGTAAGGTGTCGGTGAGCCGTAAGCCGCAGCCTCACTCACCTCAGCTGCAGGGGTAGGCGGAGGCGTGGAGCTGAGTCAGGCCGTGTTTAGTCGTAGGAAGTTGGAATTTAGGGTTACGATAGCACGTTCGTTTTTATTTGGCAATTAGTGTTTAAACATGGATTAATTAGACTCAAAACGTTCATCTCGTAATTTCCCACCAAACTGTGCAATTAGTTTTTTTTCGTCTATATTTAATGCTCCATGCACAGACCGCAAACATTCAATGTAACAGATACTGTAGCACTTTTTGAGATTTTAGGGTGGAACTGAACACGCGCTCAGTCAGGCGAGGCGTGTGCAGCAGCCTCGGTCGGTTGCGTCGGGTGAGGACTGAGGAAGCATGGCATTGACTTCACACGAGACGACGAGAGCACCATAGATGGCTGCTGTGCCCGGCCGGTCATTCCTCCTCTTTGTTTCGTCGCTCGCGGTCGGCCTCGAAGAGGCTCTTGGAGACGAGACTTGGAGTTGGAGCCTCTTCCTCCATCGGCAGTTGCGCTTTATGTGTCCGCGTGGCCCCGTTCGTTTGAACTTATTAGCTGGCTTAGCAGATAGAATCTATAGTATTTTTCTCTCACAACAAAATAGCTTCAGCCGGCTTAGCACGCACATCTCTTTTGCGTTTTGTTTTCTTGAGGAAGAAGAGTCAGCGGTCGAAGGTAAACGTCCCTCTCTGCTCCTGACGACTACCATTAGTATACTGTATACGCGTCGATGCAATGCATGTGTAAAAACTCGTAACTCGCTAGCTCGCTCGACTCGCTCATTAGTGGCTCGGCTCGTTTGAATTTGTAAACTAAGCTGAATCAGCACTTTAGCTCGTTTAATTAACAAGCTAGCTCGATTCAACCTGCGAGCTGCTCGCGAGCCAAGGTAAATCAAATGACAGCAACGTGAATCAGCCCATATATACCATGGCCCATTATCCCAATGTGATAAAACCCTAGCCCCCAACTCCCACGCTCCCACCCCTAGGCCCAAGACTTCCCCCATCCGCTGTTCCACGTAGGCGTAGCCGTAAACGTATGCGCGCTTGTCTATTCCCCTCATGAGCCGCCGCACGCGGCACATGCGTAAGTTGCTCGACGCCTGCTGCTCGCTAGGGCCTTGCAATCACAGCTCTTACTCTCCTTGCAAGCTAACACAAAGCAGCAAGCATTAGCTTTTGTTTTTTTTCTTGATTTTCCCAAACCAGCATCAAATCATCTGTCTTCGTATTTATTTTGCTTTTCCCAAATCAATATTCGTCTCTGTCTTTTGCTGGATGAATAACCTTAACCGGAAGAAAAAAATATAAGTTAGCTCACAAGCCAAACGAGCTAGCTCAAGCTACCAAACGAGCCAAGCCGAGTTGAACTTGTAGCTCATTTGTATAACGAGCCGAGCCAGCCAAGCCAGCTTGATAACGAACCTAGCTATAATGAGCCGAGTTGGCTCGATAGCCAGGCCTATGCATGTGCGGCCTGGAGACCTAACGAACAGACAATAGCGCACGCGCCGGGACCTTCACGCATCATGGGCTGGATTTTGGGTCACAGTGGTCGGGGAAGATCATGGGAGTTGACGGCGGACCTTGATCGGTGCCCATAGGCACAAGATCTACATTTCTACGTAGGAGAGACATGGAGATTGGTGCCATTTTGCTCGAGCTGCTAGGAGATTGAGATCGAGCGTGTACGGGGAGGTTTTCATGAGAGTGCTGAACTTTGTCACGGGATCGCACGGGTGGAATAGCTCACGCGGGAAGGGGGTGGGCGATAGCACACGCGAGGGAGGCGACGTAGGGTGCAAGAGGCACCCGTGGGAAGGGGCAGGGTAGCGAGAGGGTGCACAAGGGGATTTTGGTGCCGGCGGCATCGGTAGCAAGGAGGGAAGAGGCCGAGCGCATAGGATCTTGAGCGAGTGGATAAAAATGATGCTGCTATCCCCAAAGCTAGTATGCACTACTACAAAAACTATTTTCACAACTAACATTTTGACCGTTGGTTTTCTGCAAGCCGTTGGTGATAATATTTCATCATCTTTTCATAATGGAACCAGTGGTGAAACTGATTTTCATCGGCGGTTTGTAATGAAACCGCCGGTGAAACTGATTCACCGATGGTTTTAATCTTCACTGCTGATTCATTTATGGAACCGAAAGTGAAAATATGCCTCAGATTCAAAATTTGAGTTCAATGTATTTAATCAGTCAACTTGGCCTTCGGACTCTATCCTCTTCCACTCTCTCTCTCGGTCTCTCTCTCAGTCTTATGATCCCCCTCTCTCGATCTCTCTTCCTTCTTTGGTAGGCCTAGCGCGTAGGGGCTCTTGCCCCTCTCCCAGTGACGGCACGTAGGGCTCCCACTAGTGATAGTGTGTGGGGAGAGCATGCTCATTCGATGATGTCATGAGGCAGGCCCCACTTCGAGCGACGGCATGCAAGGCGAGTGCCCCACTCCGAGCAACGACGCATGAGGCGAGTGCCCTACCCTTGGGCGATGGAGCGAGGAGAACCGCTCCCGATGATGGAGGAAGGGCAAGTGCCCCATTTCGAGCGACGACACGGCTTCCTCACGTGACAACGGTACTAGCGAGCTCTCCATCTTCTTCTCTCTCTCTCTCTCCCTCTCATGTTCTCTCTCTTCTAGATATGGCAGAGGTGAGCTCGGTGGTGGTGGTGGAGGTGGGACTGTGGGAGGAAGGGGTGATGATGCTCGTGGAGAAAAAGCCCGTGGCCGGCTCTGACCAAATCTACAAGGGCCTAGGAGTAGTGTCCTCGGTGGTGGTGGGTCCAACGGCGGTGGCATTATTGGTGACGGTCGATAGTAGTTCAGTGGCGGTGGATCCAGAAGCATGCGGCTTGGTGGGGTGGTGGCGGTGGACTCAAGAGCATGTGGTGTAATCACCCATGATCGGTGGTGGGTATGGGCGTGGACGTCGGTGGGTACAGACCCTCTTTTTATTTTTATTTGATTTTTACCACCGATTAATGAAAAATCCTCAACACTACAACTTTCACCGCCGTCGAGCAAAACCGGTGGTGATGGGATGTTTTAAACTGGCGGTGACAAAGTTATTGTACTAGTGATGGATCGTTTCTTCGGCTTCGATGTATGTGAAGACTCTATTTCTTCATGTAAAAATTGTTTCATTGTTTTCTCCTCTCTCTCTCTCTTAAGAAATATATTGCCACATTAGCAACATGTAGAAGCAATTTCTTTATTTTCTCCTCCCTCTCTTTAATAAATTGTTGCAACATTAGCAAAGTGCTTAGCTGGTAATATAATTAATACACATAGAAGCTATCCTAGTTTTGCATTGAAAATGCCCTTAGAGCAACTCTATCAGGGCCTCTACTTGATCCCTGAAAACCAAATTTACTGGCCATAATAAAAAAGCGACGACCAATAGGGCCCCGTATTAGAGCCCTCAATTTTGAGGGCCCCTCAAATCTCCCCCTCAACCCTCATTCCTAGGTGGACCGGAGGAAGCCCCTACTTTACGGTTTCAACAGTTTATCTCCCTAAGTCCGTACGGAAGGGTGCTCCCTCGATGCTCCGCTCAGTGCGCTACCACCTGAAGCACTGCCCCGTCGCTTGGCGCGCCGCTACCCGGCTCCCATCTCGGTGGCTTCAGCTCCCTGTCTCCTCCCCTGGCTTCCATCAGGCCTTTTGCCTCAGCGGATCCACCTCCCACGACATGGCTTTCTTGCCCCGATGGATCCACCGGAGGTCCTCCGCGTGCGGCTTACTGCCCGACGGATCCATCCTGCCTTCTTCCCTGGCGTTTGGCCGACCTCTTCCCTGGCTTCTTCCATGGTGTCTGGCCGACCTCTTGCCCCGGTGGATCACCTCAACATCATCCTCCTCCTCCTCCCTGGTGCCCCAATCTACTAGGGTCGGCCCAGATTGCTGCCCGGCAGCGGATCCCGTCCGCACGGACTAGTGCCCCAATGGCGTATCCCATCCGTCCGAACTGCTGCCTCGATGGATCCCCTCCCACCGTCCTCCTCCCTAGTGTAGCTGCTTTACCCCGGGCGCCACTGCATAGCTCGAGCCAGGAAGAGAAAGAAAAAGAATAGATAATGACAAGTGAGCCTTGTGTTATTGTCTACTAAAAATGATTTGACGGTTCTGATTTAAGAACCACTGGAGTAGATGTAAAAAAATAGACCCTAAAAATAAAGAGAGTCATCAAATCAAAAGTAGAGGCCCTGAGGCTTTTGGCCGGAGTTACTTTTACTAGGTTATCTGTATTTCATAACCTCTATTATTTCACTTAACAAAAAACATAACAGAGGCACGATGAGGAAAAATGGAAGTCTATCTATTCATAATTCATGCCCCTTTTGATGATCAATACGACGCACAATAACTTTCCCGTACTAACATAGTATTCCTCCTTCGAATTTGAAGAGAGGTTTTGATGTTCCTTCTACGTCCAGCGAGGTAGCCCGGTGTGTTTATGGGTCTTAGACTGTCTTCAACAACCGCGACCCAAAATACAAGACCCATTCGTCCTTTAGGTAGCGCTACAGGCAAATGATTCAATACCTATTTTTGGTCTTCTACAGCAACAAGACCCAAAAGATAACCCTTTCTGCAAATGGGTCTTTAGGAGAAAAAATACTCGGATTTAAGTTATGCCTCTCCTGACACCTAAAATGGGTCTTCCGTATAGGTACTCTTAGAGACTATAGATATTATATTGAAAACATATTTTATATTGAAAACATATTTTGAGTTTTGGTTCCGCGGTGGGTATCCTGTTGGATACAGACTCATGGCATTTTCATCGCGGGACAACCGATGCTCACGGTGTCATAAAAAAATCCTTTTATCCTCCAATGGTTCCAACTCATCCTGGTCTTGTCGAGTGCAGTCTGTGGATCTGATGCAGTCTCGGCATTGCCAACGGAAGACAAAGCTTGGGTGTCGACAAACAGAAAATTTTGTTCACTGGTTCTTTTTCTTAGTTCTTGGTTAATGTTGTATTTTTCTAAGATTGATCCGGTGGAAAACATCCTTTTTTTTCTCAAATAAAAGTATGGGCAAGTATGAAGTTAAACACAAAAAAACGGTTCAATCTCTGTGACATGCTCTATTTGAATCTTCATAAACTATGTTTTATTGGTTGTAACTACCGAGAACATAGTCAACAAGAATCAAGATCAAGGAGGATACAAACAACTAAAGCAACTAAATTATCTCTTAGAAGGGTCCTGTTCGTTTGTCTTATAATTCCTTTTAGCTTATTTTTTTTAGCCAGAACAATGTTTTTCAGCGAAACGAATGGGACCCTAATACTAAAGAGGCGGAATTTTAGCCTTTTTTTGTCTGGATTTTTTTTTGTCTGGCCTCACTGATGATACACAGCCTGTTCGGTTGGCTGGTTTGTTTCGTTGCTGGTTAGTGAAGAAGTACTGCTGGCTGGTTTGTGTGAGAGAAAAATACTGTTCCGGCTGGAAATTTACGATCGTTTACGACAAGCCACAGCCAAACGACCAGGCTGACAGCCCTGCAGGTCTTGTTCATCTCGTATCCGTCAAGAACTCGGCAGAAACGCAGAAACCGATCTACACCCGCCAAGACTCGTCATCCTCTATAAACAGTCGACTTCGCACCCAAATCGAATCAATCACCTCAACAACACAGATCGGATCTTTGAGAGATGAGGCGAAAATACCTTCCCTTTCTCTATCGGCGATCAGAGCGTCGACCTAAGCGGAGCCGAGGCGAAGGGAGGTCGAGGTGGTGGCGTGGGACAGCGACGGCGGCGAGGCGCGAGCGAGGGCCGCAATGGCGAGGCGCCGTGGAGTCACGAGTGTTGAACTCAATCCTGTGCACAGTTATTAGCATGATGTAAATTAGTTAGTTGCATTTGGCATGTTTACATTCAGTTAAGCTAGCTGCATTTGTGTTAGCGGTGTAGGCGCCAGAACCGTGCTGCGTTCACGGTGCGGCGTAGAGTTATCCCCGCCGGGTGCATAGGAAAACAAACCCGCGGTTTAGGCGGGCGTGGCGCAGCATGCGCGTGCACGGCGGGGGGAGGTTGATCACAAGATCGTGTAACACCGTTTCTATAAATAGAGAAAGCAACAGAAAAGGCCGTGACCTCTGGCGGCGGAAAAACTCGTGTGTTTTTTTTGTTTGTTCGTGATAACAACTGGAGCGAGTTGAGAGTTCGTCGGCCGAGGCCGATCGCCGTCGGTGTTTGCCATTCTGTCAGTCGGCGCCAACATTTGGTATCAGAGCGAGAGGGCGGTGTTTCCCGGCGAGGAGGAGTCACGGCGGTGTGCAACGCCGCGTGAAGAAGGTCGCCTTGGCCATAGAGGAAGAACCGCATCGATCTAGAAGATGGGGGAAAATGGATCATCATCCGGCGCTGAGCGTGTTCGTGAAAGCTCGCTTATGTGGCTGATGCTCACCCGCTCTAATTACGCGGAATGGGCTATGTTGTTGCAATGCAACTTTGAAACCCTGGAGATATGGGACACCATTGATCCTGGCGGTGACAAGGTGAAAAGGTTGCGGGATAGGCAGGCAATGGCCGGCATCCTTCGATCAGTCCCGCAGGAGATGTGGCAACTTCTAGGTGCGAAGAAGACTGTCAAGGAGGCGTGGGAGGTGGTGAGAAGCATGCGAGTTGGTGCAGATCGCATCAAGGAAGCTAACGCCCAGCGCTTGTTGAAGGAATTTGAGAACATCAAGTTCAAAGATTCCAAGACGGTGGACGAGTTCGCCTTGCGCATTAGCGCCCTGGCGGCTGACCTGCGCACGTCGGGCGAAATAGTCGACAACTTCTGAGTAGTGAAGAAGATGCTGCGCGTGCTACCTCAGCGATATGCGCAGATCGCGATTTCAATCGAGACTCTTCTCGATCTAAAAACGCTCACCATCGAGGAACTGGTGGGCAGATTAAAGATGGCAGAGGATCGCTTTGGGATCAAGGCGGTCACTGACAAAATAGGCAATCTGTTGCTGTCAGAGGAGGACTGGATGGCGAAGTACCGGCATCGTCTAATGCCGGAGTCCTCGTCGACGAGTGGAGCAGGCAAGAAACCGTGGAAGCCCAAGCACGGTGGTGGCGGCAGGCGTGGAGATCGCGGTGACCGCGGCGAGAAGAAGGAACCCGTTATCAAGCTGACATCAATGGGCCTGTGATCTTGCTCGCCACGGTGACATCAAAGGGAGATGCAGAAACTACGGTCTCTATGGTCATTGGGCGGAGGACTGTAAGAAGCCCAAGAAAGATCGAAAGGAGGAGGCACACCATGCTCAGACTGACGTCGAGCAGCCTGCGATCTTGCTTGCCACGGTGAACGCTGTGCACGCCCACGCTCACGACGTCGAGCGGGCTCATGACGGCACTGCACGTCATGTCATGCACCTGAATGAGAAGAAGGTGTTTCTAGGAGAGGGGGATCAAGATCATGACATCTGGGTCCTTGACACGGGTGCCAGCAATCACATGACGGGGTGCCGGGCGGCGCTCAGATCGCTGGAATTGTCGGTGGGTGGCACGGTGCGCTTCAGGGACGGCTCACTCGTCAACATTGAAGGCATCAGCTCGGTCCTGCTCCAGACCAAGCAACATGGTCACAAGGTACTCTCCGAGGTGTATTACATACCTAAGTTAAAAAGCAACATAATTAGCTTAGGTCAGCTTGAGGAGGGTGGTTGTAAGGTGGTGTTGGAGGATGGTTGCTGTGAGGTGTTTGATGCTGAACGCTTGTTGCTCTCACGAGCACCACGTGTAAAGAACCGGTTGTATCTGTTGAAAGTGTAGCTTGCAGCTCTAGCCTGCCTACTGATGAATGCAGATGATCAGGCATGGCTCTGGCATAGGCGATATGGCCATTTGAATTTTTGAGCCCTCCGGGAGCTTGGAACAAAGGGGATGGTAGAAGGGATACCCCAGCTGGATCGTGTGGAGGAGTTCTGTGATAGTTGTGCACTTGGGAAGCAACACCGACACCCATTTCCTCAAGTGGCAAGTTATCATGCAGATAAGCCCCTAGACTTGTTCCATGCATATTTGTGTGGGAAGATCAAACCCAGCACAGCAGGTGGTAAGAATTACTTTCTACTAATTGTCGATGATTATTCATGATACATGTGGGTTGAGTGCTTGACGACTAAAGATGAGGCATTCAGTCGGTTTAAGAAAATTCAGGCTCTGGCAGAATCAGAAAGAAATTGTAAGCTTCGGGCTTTTAGAAGTGATGGGGGGGGGTGAATTCAACTCCATGGAATTTCAGCAATATTGTGATGAACATGGGATGAAGCATTTCACCGCAGCTCCCTATACACCTCAGCAAAACGGTGTCGTAGAGCGTCGCAATCGCACCGTAGTGGAGATGGTGAGGTGTCTTCTGAAAGGCAAAGGGGTTCCTGGTGAGCTGTGGGGAGAGGCAGTGTCAACTGTAGTTTACTTGCTGAATCGTGCTCCTACTAGAAGCTTGAAGATGAAAACCCCGTACGAAGCTTGGCATAGTCGAAAGCCAAAAGTGCATCATCTTCGCACCTTTGGGTGCGTAGCTCATGTGAAGACTGTTGGGCCTGGTGTCTCCAAGCTATCCGACAGATCAACCAAAATGGTTTTTGTTGGGTATGAGACAGGAACAAAAGGATACCGTGTTTATGATCCTATGACGAAAAGGCTGCATGTCTCACGTGATGTGATATTCGAAGAGAACATAGGCTGGGATTGGAAACAGAATTCGCAGTCTGATCCTGTAAGATCGTCGTTTGATGTTGAGTTTTACACTGTTGCCGGACAAGGAATAGTGACTGAAAATTGAGAGAACGTGACTGAAAATGCTGCTGATCCTGGAAGCCAAAGTGGTGGGTCACCTTCTCAGATCCAGTGGTCTGTTGACACTGAGTCAAGCAATACTCCAGACCTTGCAACACCCCCGGGGAGCCCAGCAGTGCAGGGTGTGGAATTTGCAACTCCACCAATTGGAGAGTCTGTCGATTCAGAGGGAGTACCAATGAGGTACAAAACAGTCAGTAACATATTTGATACAACTGATGAGATGACAAACTTAGAGTACAGTGGAGTGTGGTACTTTGCAGCTGAGGAGCCAAGGAGTGTTGAGGCAACATTGAATGAGCAGTGTTGGAGGGAAGCCATGGTTGCTGAAGTGGATTCAATCCAAGCAAACAAAACATGGGAATTGTCAACTTTGCTAAAGGGGCATAAAGCCATTGGTTTAAAATGGGTCTTCAAGGTGAAGAAGGATCCTAACGGAATTGTGACCAAGCACAAAGCTCGGCTAGTGGCCAAAGGATATGCACAGCGTGAGGGGGTGGACTTCGAGGAAGTTTTTGCACCTGTGGCTAGAATTGAGACAGTCAGGCTATTGATTGCTTTGGCTACATTGAAGGGCTGGCAAGTGCATCACATGGATGTGAAATCGGCGTTCTTGAATGGTGATTTGAGAGAGGAGGTGTATGTTCAATTGCCTCCTGGATTTGTTGTGAAGGATGGCAGTGGGAAAGTCCTCAAACTGAAGAAAGCCCTGTATGGGCTGCGTTAGGCTCCAAGGGCATGGAATGCTAGGTTGGATAGTGAGCTGGTGAAGCTTGGTTTTGTTAGAAACCCTCTAGAACATGCTGTATACAGAAGATTAGGCAAAGATGGTCTTCTTCTAGAGGGAGTGTATGTTGATGATTTGGTAATCATAGGATCAAGCAACACCAGTATTGAGTCCTTTAAGAAGGAGATGATGAGCAGTTTCAGCATGAGTGACTTAGGACTGCTTAGTTATTATTTGGGTATTCAAGTTGATCAGCAAGTGGGAAAGACAACTTTGTGTTAGAGCTCTTACACTCTGAGAATCCTTGAGCAAGCTGGAATGAGTGGATGTAATCCATGCCATGTGCCAATGGAGAACAGATTAAAGTTGAGCAAAAATGACAAGTCTCCACCTGTTGACAAGACCAAATATAGAAGTATCATTGGAAGCTTGGGTACTTAGTCAATACCCGGCCTGACATTGCTTATGCAGTGGGTATTGTGAGTAGGTACATGGAGGAACCCAGAGGGAGTCATTGGGCAGTTGTTAAGCAGACACTGAGGTACTTGGCTGGTAGAGTACACTATGGAGTTGTGTACAAGAGGTTGGGCACTGCAGATTCGCTTGTTGGTTACAGTGATAGTGACTTGGCCGGTGATGTTGATGATAGGAAGAGTACCAGTGGCTCAGTATTTTTGTTGGGAACAAGTCTAGTGACATGGGTGTCTCAGAAGCAAAGGGTGGTAGCTCTATCATCCTGCGAGGCTGAATATATAGCCAGTACAAATGCTGTCTGTCAAGGCATTTGGCTCAGCCGGCTTCTAGCTGAACTCCTTGATGTTCAGGTACCCAAGGTGAGGCTTCTGGTGGACAAAAAATCGGCTATAGCTTTGAGCAAGAATCCAGTTCACCATGATAGGAGTAAACACATCGACACTAGGTATCACTTTGTCCGTGATTGTGTTGATAGAGGTGAAGTCGACATTGATCATGTGAGCACGACTGAACAGCTAGCAGATATTCTGACCAAGGCGCTTGGTCGTGCCAGGTTTGTTGAGCTTCGTCAGCAGCTAGGTGTAGTTGAAGTGCAAGAGGATTAGGGGGTGAAATGTTGAACTCAATCCTGTGCACAGTTATCAGCATGATGTAAATTAGTTAGTTGCATTTGGCACGTTTACATTCAGTTAAGCTAGCTGCATTTGTGTTAGCGGTGTAGGCGCCAGAACCGTGCTGTGTTCACGGTGCGACGTAGAGTTATCCCCGCCGGGTGCGTAGGAAAACAAACCCGCGGTTTAGGCAGGCGTGGTGCAGCATGCGCATGCACGGCGGGGGGAGGTTGATCACAAGATCGTGTAACACCGTTTCTATAAATAGAGAAAGCAACAGAAAAGGCCGTGACCTCTGGCGGCGGAAAAACTCATGTGTTTTTTTGTTTGTTCGTGATAACAACCGGAGCGAGTTAAGAGTTCATCGGCCGAGGCCGATCGCCGTCGGTGTTTGCCATTCCGTCAGCCGGCGCCAACAACGAGCGGGGCGTGGGGCAGCGACGACGTCGAGGCGCGAGTGTGGGCCGTGATGGCAAGGTGGCTTCGAGTCACGGACGTGGGCCCTCTGTGGCTCCTCCCTGCGCGTGGGCGCATGACTCCTCCTGGCTTATGCACGGGCACGCCGGAGGCGGAGAAGAGAAACACGGAGGCTCTGGTGCGGCGCGCGGAAAAAATCAAGCTTGAGCCGTCGTTGGACCGCTGCGCGCGAACTGCTGCTGGGACGCCCTGCTCCGACTAGCTGACCGCCGCGCCCGAGTCACCACTGGTCGCCGCGCCCGAGTCACCACTGGCCGCCCTGCGCAAGCCGCACCAAGCCACCGTGCACGAGCCGGTGCTGGGACGCCCTGCTCCGGCATAGCTGGCTTCCCATCGGCCACCGTGCGCAAGCTACACCACACTGCCTCGCACGACACTACGTAGAAAACGATTTTTAGGAATGGTTCGATTTTTTTGTAGGGTCGGCTGGTGATGGAGCCGCCCCTACAGTGACGTGCTAGGGTGCCCAGACACCAGCCGCCCCTACAAACGGAATAGCAGGGGCGGCTGGTGTTACGAGCCGCCCCTACAAATGGGGTCTGATTTGTAGGGGCGGCTCAATCACCAGCCGCCCCTGGAAATGCTATTTGTAGGGGCGGCTGGTGATTGAGCCGCCCCTATAAATGGCCCCGTATTTATAGCACTGATTTGTAGGGGCAGCTCAATCACCAGCCGCTCCTACAAATGCCCCCATATAAAACAGATGCAGCTCCTTCTTCCTCCTCGGGTTACTCACTCCAACCCGTGGAGAGGTTGTAGAAGGTAAGAAAATGCTATTCCAAACTTTTTTTGAAGTTTTAATGGTTGGTTAGTGAGTAATTAGAGTTTTGTTTTTCTCTCTCTTCTATGGTGCTTGAGCTATTTATGAGCAAATTAGACTCAACTTTTAAATGTACTAGGGTAAATTAGGGAGGGAACAAGATCATACCCTTATTTGGTCCATGTTTCTTGATTTTAGTGAACCATTAGTTAGTTTTATGGATGTTTCATGTGCATGTGATCTAGATCTAGGGTTTGATTTTTTTATTAATTTCGTTTTTGTAAATTTATGTTTGAT